CACAAAGGAAGTATTTCCAACCATTTAAAAACAACAAAAAAGTGATCTCTTTGAAACGTCAGATACCGATTACAGTATTAGCATTGGAGTCTGACGCCACCTTGCATTAATACGTCATATGATAGATCTCTGTTGTAGCAACGGTGGGATAAACATACGTGACCACGTGGGCACGTGCACCGGCGGTAGAAGGTCTCTCGACAAGCTGTTTTTGGCAATGGTTCAAGACTCCACATATTAGGGCGGTTGTCCAAAAGACTTGGTTAGCCATGTTATGCTTTCTAGTGCAGCCTTTGTCGTTGTATGATCAAAAGAAGAATATTGACTGGTAGCATATGTCACATACCAGAGGACTTTGAGCTGCAATAACAATTTAATTTGCATGTGTGTTAAAAAGAGCTATGCATTTTACTTAAAATGCTAAATTAGTTGCTTAAGATCAAAGCGGCAATACCATTAGAGGCTCTTGTTCACTAGCATTAAAAAACAAAACAACCTAATTGTAATCATGAGATCCTTTTCGTAGAGCTTCCTGGTGACATATATAATAACGTGAATGTAAATACGTAGCGTTAGTAAAATATAGTGACAATTTTACATATAAAAGTATATACATTTTAGTATACAAAACAGACGCCTTCATTAGTACAACAAACAACTGATATAATTAATAAGCAACATTATGATGCAGATAAGATCGTCACTTGCGTAAAATTCACTTCACACTTATTCTTCAACTCTTTATGGACACCATCCCTTCATCACATTGTAAACCCTCTTTATGGATATACCATCAGTTTAGCACATTTTGAACCTCTTAATGGATATCCTTCCGTTAATACATGTTAAATATCTTTGTGGATATTCATCCATCCTTTCAGCACATTTTATATCTCTTTAAGGCTATCATCCATCCTTTCAACACATTTTACATTTTATTATGAACATCCATCCTTTTGCCCAAGTGGCACAGTGGTATATCTGCGGACTTACAACGCTAGAATCCGGGTTTCGTTACTCGTGTCGGGCAGAGCACAGATAGTCCATTCTGTTGCTTTGTGTTTAACTTCAAACAAACAAACAATCCATCCTTTTAAGATAGTTTAAAGAGGAAAGAGGTGAAATTACTTACGTAGCTCCTGAACTATCAATTCGCCTTTGCATAAATTGTCATATAATTATACAAGAGCAATTCTAATGCTTAGAAATAACTTACGATTGAACATATTGTACAAACACTAAAAAATTATTTAGTAACTTTATTTGTTGTTAAGCGCAAAGCTACATAACGGGCAATCTGTGCTCTGCCCATCTTGAGTATCGAAATCCAATTTTTAGGGTGATAAGCCCGCTGACTTACCGCTGAGTCGTTGGGAACCTAAGAACTTTGAGTATGAAAAAATGTTTAACTACGATATTCATGCCCTTGATTAATAACTAAACGACACCGTGGCATTAGTTTTATTATTATTTGGTTTATGCTCATATTGTCCATTATTGATGAACCACGAATGTGGATCATAGCTGTTTCAGTGGGAAGAACCTATAGGATTCTTGGCTTGTATACCGTATTTTATTTTTATTCTTTTTCGTTGAAAAAGATCTTACTGATTTGTAAGGTATACGACCTCTAACCATGTAGACAATTCAACTTATGGCACTTTTCCCTGTTTCTAGGCGTGAATTAATGCTGTACATTCCCCATAAGTCACGTCACCTTGTCATAAGATATTAAATATTACGAATTGCTTTACTGCGCATACGATTTTCTCAGTTATATAATAAAATATGGGTTCGGATCCCCGTCACACCAAACAT